TGAGCAAGGCACCGAACCCCCAACTGCTCCCCGGGCGCCGCAGCATAAATGGCTGCCCACTGCTCCGGGTGTGTGTTCACGGTGTGTGTGTGTTCACTGCTGTGTGTGTGCACTTTGGATGGGATAAATGCAGAGCACTAATTCCGAGTATGGGTCACCATACTTGGCCACATGTCAGATGTCACGTCACACAAAAAAGTTCTGACAGGTGACCTGAAAAAAGTGTTTGATGTGGTAACATCTAAACGAACAGGTTTTATTCAGGTTGAAAGTATCATTTAATATGAGTAAATCAAGTTGATGGACATTGTGTTTAACTTGTTGCGGGTCAATTTGACACAAACTCAATTTTCAAACTGCTCAAAAAGTTTGTGAATGTTTTTTATTTAGGGTCATGCATATGCATGCGAAATTTTGACACATAGATGTGTTTTGGAAAGGCTGTACAAACTGACCCTCATTGTTTTCCATGCAAAAATCAAACATTTTGAAAAACACTAAAGAGTAAAAAAAATAAATAAAATTTATATATATATATATATACAGTATATATACATGAAAACATATGAAATGTAATTTTCTATTTGAGTTTAACAGTAAATGAATAAACAGACAAACAAAAATTAATGAATTAATAAAAAATGTAATTTAATTAAAATTTTTTATTTAATTACAAAAAAAAATTAATTAAAAAATATAAAGATCTCAATTATTAGACTGTTGCAGCGCTGAAAATAAATGTGAGAAGCCTATTTTACCTTACAAGGGTTTGAGAAAAAGACAACAAAAAGGCAAATAGCAATAAATACACTAAGAATAAATAATGTTAGATAATATTTATAATAGTAGTTATCTGCACCTCAGTGTGCAAATAGTAACTACAAGTAGTCATGACAAAAAATAATAAAATTATGATTATTATTATTATTATTATTATATTTTTAAGCATTTAATTTTGAATATAAAAATATGTATCATATTAACACAATGGAAATAACACAGTAAAATAGATGGCAATTATAAAAAAACATTTTATAATTTTTAGTGTATTTTTAATCGCATAATTGGTTAAATCAGAAGATCGGGATGCTGAACCAAACAAATGTTGATGTTTGAAAGTTTAACGCTTTTCTGTTAAAATACACTTAATCTATATATATATATATATATATATATATATATATATATACATAGCTGCGAGCATCGAATACCAGGGTTCAAGCGCTTAAGGCATTTAAGCATATAAGGAAAAAGACATTACATATTATTTAGCAAGGCTGTACCTACGCAAATCGATTAAAAAAGCATTTTTGGCAAATCCAGGTAATTTAACACAGAAATATGATGTTTTTTTAATGTTTATGACTGTTATAGCTCCAGCTGTGGTCCGATCCCCTTAAAACTTTGCATGCTTGTTTCGAATCCCCTGTCACATGTGCTCAGCAGGTTTCGTGAAGTTTTGAGCTTTCCTTTAGGCTTTACAGGATTTGGGGTACATTTGGACAGGCCCCTTTTCTAAAGGACAGCGTTATAGCTTCCCAAAGGGTACATTTCCACCTTTTTTTTTTTATAATTATTGCTCTAGAGAGTCCGGAGAATTGTACAGAAGTGTTTTTTTTTTCCAGATTGAGCGAAAAACCTAGGACTAGTTTTCAAATGTAGTTTTTTTTTACATCTTCTCAATCATTTAAAAATCAATTTGATTGACAGCAGTGGTTCTAGAGGCAAAGTTGTCCGGAATGAGTTGTTCTATCATATGATATGAATATTGTGCGTATGTGTGAAAAACTGCGCGACGTACAATCGTTTAAGATCTCAATTATTAGACTGTTGCAGCGCTGAAAATAAATGTGAGAAGCCTATTTTACCTTACAAGGGTTTGAGAAAAAGACAACAAAAAGGCAAATAGCAATAAATACACTAAGAATAAATAATGTTAGATAATATTTATAATAGTAGTTATCTGCACCTCAGTGTGCAAATAGTAACTACAAGTAGTCATGACAAAAAATAATAAAATTATGATTATTATTATTATTATTATTATATTTTTAAGCATTTAATTTTGAATATAAAAATATGTATCATATTAACACAATGGAAATAACACAGTAAAATAGATGGCAATTATAAAAAAACATTTTATAATTTTTAGTGTATTTTTAATCGCATAATTGGTTAAATCAGAAGATCGGGATGCTGAACCAAACAAATGTTGATGTTTGAAAGTTTAACGCTTTTCTGTTAAAATA